TAAAACCCTAAAGCCCTAAACCTCGGAAACCCCAGGGGACCCTGGGAAGGCCCTGCGAATCAAAGGACTCTGAGCTCCGAAACCCGAGTTCCGAAGCTCAGCGCCGAGTGTCCCAGAGCTCAAACCCTAAACCCGAAACCCAAAACCCTAAACCCAAAACCCCAAAACCCAAAACCTATCCCCTAAACGATGCCGAGTGTCCCAGAGCTCGCCCCCGACGTACATGCAGGCCCCTCGGCTCCAGATTCGTCCTGCATCCGGGGGTCCAGGTTCAGGGATTTTAAAAGGCAGATACGAAGGGTTTAGGGTTTAAGGGCTTAAGGGCTTAAGGGTTTAGGGTTTGGGGTTTTGGGTTTCAGGGCTTAGGGTTTTAGGGCTTACCTATAGTCTCCATTGTAGTTCCTGTTTGGGGGATATCTTATAAAATCCTTGATCTATAATTGGTTGAACCAAAAAAAGGAACTGCAATGGAGACTATAGGTAGATACGAGCATCCCAATGGGGATCTTTACTCTGCCTACCATGAAATGCAAAGACGTCAGTTCCCGAAACCCTAAACCCTAAACTTAAACCCTAAACCCTAAACCCTAAACCCTAAACCCTAAACCCTAAACCCTAAACCCTAAATCCTAAACCCCTAAACCCCAAAGTCTCCAAGAGCAGCTCCCCTGCTCGCCTGAGGAGTGAGCCGTGTTCGAGTCAAACTCCAGTAGTTCCTTCTCATCGGGGCGGTAAGCCTCTTTAGGGTTTAGGGTTTAGGGTTTAGGGGTTTAGGGTTTAGGGTTTAGGGTTTAGGGTTTAGGGTTTAGGCCTCTTCGGACACAGGGTTTCTAGGGCTTCTCTTTTTGTGGCGCTGGGGGGCTGTTAGGGTTTTGGGCTCAAGGGCTTAGCAGCTTTTCGCTTGGACTTAATCAGTTTGGGCATGAACAAGAAGGCGGCGTAGGTATTCGGATCTCTTGAGATTCGCGCCAAGGGGGCTTACGCACCATCTGAGGCTCAGGGTTTAGGGTTTAGGGTTTAGGGTTTAGGGTTTAGGGTTAAGGGTTAAGGGTTTAGGGTTTAGGGTTAGGGTTTTCGAGTCTAGGCTTTCTGATTTCGGGCTTTCGGGCTTAGTTTCTTCAACATATCTCAGGGGGCGCCTTGTTTGCGTCCTTGCTTTGAAGGATCCTACTGCTTCATAGGGTCTGCTTGTTGTTTTTTTTACGTAGTTTAGGTCCGCTGTTTTTGAACATCGCATCTGCAGTCTGCGGGGCTTGTTCCCTAAACCCTAAACCTTAAACCCTAAACCCTAAACCTTAAACCTTGAACCCTAAACCTCCGGATCATGGAGGCCTCGCCTGGTTGCTGGCATAGCTGTCTCCAAGGGCGTACTCCACGCGAGGGAAGTGGAAACCCGAGAAGCCGCCACCTGAGATCGGGGTCGATCTGGTTTAAGGTTTAGGGTTTAGGGGTTTAGGGTTTAGGGGTTTAGGGTTAGGGGTTTAGGGTTTAGGGTTTAGGGTTTAGGGTTTAGGGTCGGGGGCTTCATGGGTAGCCCGCTGCATGGTAATCCAATCGAAAACAAGACCCTAGAAAGGGCCCTTATCAGGTGTGCCCCTGAGAACTGTGCAAACAGAGGCCTGCCCGAGAACTCTACAAAGCTCGTGGAGTTTGGTCCAAGCACCAAAAGGCGCCTCAATCAGTACAACACTACAGGAGTTTGGGGGTATACTATACCAAGCAAACTACGTGGAGGCTCTCAGAAACCCTGATTACACCCTTTGAAGTCGAAGAAACCACTGACACCAGGCTGTGAAACCCTTTTCAATCTCAGGGGCCTAAGCCTAAAACTGAAAGGACACCCTCCAAGCACCACAACTCATGCACGAATGCCTGGGTTTCAAGGGGTACAGTAACCGGGCTCGACCTCTGGCAAAGAGCCTCGCCTCCAAGCAGTAATTTCAAACGCCAGAATACAAAGCCAAGCCTAAACTCTAACTTGGTTGTGCGTGAGAGCTCCCGCAAGTATTTATGAAAAGTTACCTCTGTGCCCCAAATGTCCACCTAGCTGCACAGAATCCCAAGAACCTCAACCGAAACAAGCTTGCAAGTCTCAAGCAAGATCCAAACCCTGAACAAAGCAGGTGCCTCAATGATTAATTAGACTATTTAGCATGGGGGCCATTATCGCGAAGCAATATAGGAGTAGCAAAAGACTAACCCCCCCCCCTGTAGCAACCTTCAATAACAAGAAACTCAAGACGCACTCCCAAGAAACTCAAGACGCACTCCCGCAACTCCACTCGCTCTTCAGGGGCTCATTGCTCCCTAGCGAAGACTGACCTTGTCCGAAATATTCAAGATTTCGACTGGGTTGCTCTGTATTACCTTGCTAAAATTAAAACTTTTAGTACCCCGAATATCGAAAAAAGGCTAATCCTAAAAGTGATAAAGCTACAAAGTGACTGTAAAGTTCAACCAAGTCGATCTCAGCCTAATGACGAAGCAGGCCACATGACATCTTACGCACCTGGCAACATGGGAAGCCCGAGCAGCTCGCAGAGTTGCCAATCCACCGATTTTTTGCATTCGTGCAGTAGAACCTCACTGACAGAGGTTTAGGGTTTAGGGTTTTAGGGTTTAGGGTTTAGGGCTGCCAGGTGATAGTGCTGTGGTTACCCATGGGCCCTGAAGTAGTTCCTTTTGGGGGTTTCATTTATAGAATCCTATAAGGTAACCCCCAACAGCCTAGGGGTACAAACTCACACCGCTCAAGCCCCACCGCTTACATCCCGCAAAGCCTATAACACCTCATAAAATACAACCCCGGGACCTTTAACAAACCCCAGAGCACTCGAAGTTAGTGAGAATGCAGAGAAGATTTGGGTGCTTCAGCCCCTGCAAAGCCTCTGGGCTTGATTCTGGGGCTTTAGAGGGCTTGTTCTGCATCTGATGCCTTTCTTACAGGGTTCTTGAAGGGTTTTTTCAGGGTGGCGGAGGATCCATTGTACCCCTACTCGGTACCTGGAGAAACCGTACGAGTAGCTCCGCTTGCAGAGACCCGTACTTAGCCATGGTGGGGTAGATCATGGGATGACGGGTTTGCGTTGCTATGATGCATCATATGTAAGTGCACACATGAACTTATCTATGAATAAATGTATGTATACAACGCTTGATCGTATGATTACATGTAAGCATGCATGTTGTGAGTATGTATTCTGAGTTTATGCACGTGTCCAAACCAGCTCAATTTCTTTACACGTATGCGTGCATGCTCTCGGAGCCGCACCCCACAGCCGTGGCATCGGTGGGTACGATGCGGCTTGCCTGCCATCGAGGGAACTTTGTTGAAAGGCTTGGATCGTTACTCTTGCGCTGCAGCCTTTACCCCAAATTCTGCAAGCAAGCGTAGCTACGGCTTGAGGTTAGTGTTCGGTCGTGTATGGCTTCAGAACTTGGTGGGGTGCTTGATGGTCGGGGGTTTGTGGCTCAGACCGGCTAGGCCAAAGACACGGAAATCCTGCTTCAAAAAGCATGATGCAATACTTATACAACTTGCAACTTAAGGGATCGTAGACCTCAGAGTTCTAAAACCCAGACGCCAAAACCTCAACCCAAACTTAAAAGTCCTAAACTACCCTAAAGCCTAACTCACCAAACTTTCACTAAACCCTAGCCCAAACTTAAGAGCCCTAAGCTCTAAACCAAATCTCCTCTGAACTCAACCCGAGCCATGGCCTGCGTCTGCACTCGGACGCCTTCCTGGCCGCCACCAGCCTAAGAAGGACTTCGAGAGGCTTGGGCTTTCAGGGTTCCTTTCAGATCTCCTTTTAAGGGATCCTTCAAGGTTCTCGTAAGGGCTCCTTTAAGGGCTCCTTTATTGAAGGGTTCCTTTCAAGGTTCCCATAAGTTCTCCTTCAAGGTTCTCATAAGGGATCCTTTTAAGGGCCTCCTTTAAAGTCTCCTTTTTTAAGCGATCTTTCAAGGTTCCCAAAAAGGCTCCTTCAAGGGTTCCTTCAAGGTTCCCATACGGGTGCCTTTAAGGAACAAACAGAGCAGGGGTTTGGGATGTACACTGACAGTTTCGGATCTAGGATGACAAGGCCTCCAATTATTTTCCTCTGTCCCCCAAGGGTTGGGGTTTACATATTCTCTCCAATGTCGTTGCTTCTCGAGGCTGACCTGTTTCATAGACGTGACACGTGTTTGTCATAAAGAACCAGGTAACATCAGAAAAGATGCTACATTGGAAAGTATGGGAGTATGGGTAGAGTCTGCTCCTGAAGTACTACGAATCCTTTGTCACCGAAACAGTACGGCACGCTGGCACGGTGGACCTTTGCTGGGGCGGGTTTTGGGGTTCACTGTGGGACCTGAATTCTCGAAAACACCTGGGTTCCAAGCGATGCCGGGACAAGAGCCCAGATCCCTACAAGCTGGATTCCCAGACGCCCTAAACCTAATGTAGGGGCCTTAATAGGGTTT